ACAGCGTCGACTTGCCGCGGCCAGGATTCGATCTCACAATCTTTCGGTTTGGAGTCTGGCACCTTAACCACTAGACTACCGACGCCACTTGAAGGAATTTCAAGATAATTCGAAAACACAAAATTTTCAACTTTATAGAACCACTTCCCAGGATAAATTAAGGAAATAATCTTTGAAATCACAAACAACTCCATCTTTAATAAAACGGAACATGAAAGTTAGCGTATACCTTGTCATTGGTCTGCAGACTCGCATGTACGAGGAGTGATCAAAAAGTTCGCGATCAAATTGGACAAGAAAACATTGATGTAACCATCAATAAATAAATAAAGTAAACAATGGGTCTTCATCATCAAACCGTTTCGATATGAGTGAAAAAGGCATGCGTCTAAATGATGGAGAGGATAGTTGAGAATAGTTTTGAAAACTTGTATTCGGATGAAAATCGAACAAAAACGATACCCTTTTAAACTTATCAATTCCTCAAGTAAATGTTGGCTGCATAAAATATAAATTGAAATCAGACACATGCATAACGTATTTTCAAAAAAAAAAATGTACTAGTATTTTACTTTAAGAATATACATGTAAACACGAACTGTGTAAAGTACATGTACGTTTTAATGCGATTTGTAAAATTCGATTTTCTAAAAAAGGGGACCTGTCGTTTTTTCGATAGTATATGATAAGTAGCTTTATATATTAAAGATGAAAAACATACATATTTTTACAGATCATTTTATGGAAGTAATTATATTGTGTATCTCGTAATTTATAAAGGGAAAAAACATTCTGATTAACAATCTTCTTAATGTTTAGAAAACCTTTAATTCTGAAGAACTTCTCCCACCTCAATCCCCAGAATCCGGGATGTGTTTCGCACTGAGATGGTTCGCGCTAGGATGATTCGCGCCGATTTCGGTGCGAAACATCTCCCCTCTTTTTTTTTAATATTTCATTTATTTTGTAATAATTTAAGATTATTTATTACATCTTAGATAAAAATATGTGTTGTATGCTCAAAATCATGACTTTTAATAATTTAATACGTGGTGCCACAGGTAACGGATCGTAAATGGTGCCCGTTTGTCAGCGTTTGTGTTCAACAATTTAATTGTAATTAGTTGGAGATCAAAAGGTGAGAACTATTTCATTATAGCAATTATAAAGTTGTACAGCAATTATCTGCGTGATTTTGAAAACATATCATCTGTGTTTTTATTGAGAACATGTGTATAGAATAATCCACCATGCAGGAAGTTTGATTGTCAAATTTAATGTTAATTAATATTCTACAAAATTTCGATACTTACATCAATATTTACAGATATCATAATATATATATAATTTTTTTTGCAAAACGAACGAAATAAATAGCATACATTTATGTTCTGGGAGCGAAACATCGTGGGGCGAACCATCTTAGCGCGAAACATCGCGGTGCGAACCCAATCGCAACTTCTCGGGCCTTTCCGACAAGCGGAAAAACGACCTCGAATGTATATGGTAGACGCCATGACAACCCTCCCTTTTCACGATCTTTGAAATAAATGCATGTAGACCTTTTATCTGTGGAATATGGAGTTTAACTTTATTCAATGTAATGATATTACCTGAAATATACTATAAAAGGAACTTCAAACTCTGTCTATTCTATATTTGAATAAACAGGAAATGTATAAAATTTTAACATCCGTTGATGTTAATACATTCGAGGTTGTTTTTCCGACCTCTGGCGGAAAGACCAGAGATGATGCGATTGGTGCGAACCATGCATTGGCGCGAAACATCCCGTTACCAATCCCCATACACCAACACTTTATATGTATAGAGCAGCCTGGTCCTCCGGGCTGCCATAACTTCCATAAAACAAAGTGGTCACGATAGCGTTCGCTACATGATCGGGAGGCCCGGGTTTGATTCTCGTTCGCGGCGCCCCGTCATACCTATATATGACGTAAACATAGGTAGTGACTGTTCCTTCGCTAAGCGCTCGGCACTAGAAGTTAAAGTCACAGGATTTTCGAATATGACCTTAAAAACGTAGGTCTCGTGTCACGTTAAGCGTTGGCACGATAAAGAACCCTCACTGCTCGATGGCTCTGATGCCGAGTATAGGTCTAAATTTGAAGCCCTTCACCGGCATACGTTGGCGTCTCCATATGAGTGAAAAATTCTCGAGAGGGAAGTTAAAGAATGTACAATCAATCATAAAACAAATAAAATTATTTTTATTTAGAGTAGCCCTCTTTTAATGCATATCTGCCACTATCCTGCCCATGCACGAATCACGTGATCCAGGCGTCAAGTGACATGTTCTGAAGCACTCTGTTCATAGACTCTAAAATATTTTTCGGAGTCTTATATTTCTTACCATGCAAGTTGATTTTTATAACAAGAACAGTCCATTTGTCAGAAATGACCGAATCTCGGAAACTGGATGGTTTAAGGATATCCTTTCCCAGAAAGAACATGGAGACCATCGATTCCCGAGTCCTCAGTCTTAGGAACGTCGTTTATCCAATATGAATATAGTTGAAGGTGCTTTTTTTGTCATATTTGATATGTTTAAAGTCTAAATTAAACGATATTTTAAGGATTTAATAATAAAATTATTGTTAAGATTTTCAACTATTTTTCTGGCTGTAACTTTGCAATCTTTCATAACAAATTGCCTAACAAATGGACACACCTCTACCCCAGCTTGCTTTCTCTGGGCTACAAAATAAACGTCATTTTTAACCATCTCCCTCCATTCTCTAAAACAATCAATCCAATTTATGACTGAACGTCTGGAAAGTCTATTATCTATATTTTAAGATATTTTAAAGGAATTTCCAAGTTATACGTTAAACTTTACAGCCGTTCGTTTCGCGAGTAAGACTGTGAAAACCATTTTTTGTCACGAGTCACCTACATATTGACGTCAATTTCATATTGTGACGTCACAATGATGCTGAAAATCATTACTTTTCATATGCTATTTATAGAACATGTGTATGATTATTGGTGTGTCAAAGAGCAAGAGCTACTTAAGGCCTTATTTGGCCCTGAGAATACCTGAAAATTCGTGCAGTATTTATAACGTGGAGTGCTAGTGACCATGTATCTATTAATCATGACGTAATTTTCCCTCTATTCAATGCATTGTGACGTCGTAAAATGCGTCGTTTTCTTCATATCCTGTAAATTCCTTTGAAAATGGCCTTAAGTTGAAGTATATTTTAAATATCTTATATAGAACACAACCTCTGATCCAAAATATGCAAATACATAATGAAAGATCTTTTCCTGAAGATCCAAAAACATGTTTTATTTTTTGGATCGTGGGCTGTGCTCATATTTTAATTCTTTGCTGAAGGTAGTCAAATATGCATGTTTTTTGCAATTTTCAAGAACATTTCTCAAAGCCTGTTTTCCAATATCATATTGTATCATAGGAAATGAAAGAACAAAGTCTCTACTTTATTCTGATATATGAAATGTGAAAGAGGGTAATAGTTAATTAATGCTTGGGCAGGGCCATTTTATACATAAAGTGAACCTAGCTCTTTCATTCTGATCTAAATCGTGGTTTTGTAGATATATAGAGATAGTTCGCTTTTTGATCACCCCTCGTACATGTACAACCCCCTTGTGAATCTAGAGAAAATTTTTTAACTTTCTTTTCATTAAAAAAATAGACAAGAGAAAAATTCCCAGTAGAGAAGAATTTATTTCAGTTAACGTCTTCTAGGTAAGATTATTCCCAATATCTGTCTTCAGAATCAAATGGTGGTTCTCCTTTTTTATGTAACTTGCGAACATGATTTTAGAAATTGCTTTCAGATAATTGAAACACTATGAATATTATGAAATATTTGAATAGATCGTGTTAATATCTGATATATCTATTATCGGTGCGTAAAAATTCGCATTCTTTACTCGGTAATGGATCCGTAAACATAAAGAATTGAAACTTCGTACAAACACTATAGAGGATGATATTTGTGAGGCGTTATATTTTAAATAAGTCAAGAAATCCAGTGAAAATATTAAGGACATACTAAATTAGCAATATAAGAAATATAAACAAAAATTTCGATGACTGGATTTTTTTTCAGCTCAAGGTTCTGTTCCTCTTTAAAATCTACGCTGTATCTGTAGGCACCTTTCATTTCCTAGATCTCGACCTTAATATTATAACTAAGGGAAAAGAATAAGAATACCAGTATTAGGTTTATACACCCATCTTTTACACAACATCAAATAAATTAATTTGAACTGCAATTAATGAGTTTTTTTGACTTTCTTTAATTTCAGTGAAATTTTCTGCATTTTGCTGTCACTGCTTGAAAAGCTTACATGGGGTCATCTTTGTATGACATTGGGCCAACGTAACCTCAGCATGTAGGTACACAAATACATTGGACCAACACAAGAATTATAATTGTATAGTATTGGGTCAACGTGACGCCAACATGTAGGTGCAACTTTGCGCCGGTGAGCAAAATTACATTGGCCCAATAAAGTTTTCGACATTGGACCAACATAACCGACAACGGCGGGTGGCCCAACATTGGATCAATATAAGCTTGCTATCTCGGGTAGCATTACTTCTTTCCGAACATAACTTTTTAGTACTGAAAATTTTACTTTAAAGACACCCCCCCCCACACACACACTTTTTATTGCAGACAAAAAGTGTATAAGTCAATTTGGTACAAATGGAAAGTCAGATCCCCTAGCTAGTGTGTTAATCCCCATCATATAAGGTTTTATAAATATCTGTTCAAAAGAAATTATAACAACGTTTTCATCAGTTTTATTTTTCCATGACTTTTTATTTTCTTTATCCCGAAGAAGGGACAGGGTGCCATTTGAAATTTATACTGTTCGTGTCGTAAGTCGTTGTTAGTGCTTTACATGAATTCTCATTCTTGACCTTGTATCTACTTAATAGATCATACACAGGATATACAGTGTGGTTGCTTTTTTAAACGCTTTGCGTATAATTTTATAGAGGAAGGGGAAGTTTACACCAGCCACAGGAATGCACGACACTTTGCTCGGTACTGTAATCATAATTGTATCTCGTGATTGTAGATTTTTTATTCTAGATTTAGACACTATTAAATCGAAAGGACTATGGATTTTTTAACTACCTTCTGTCTGGGGATATTATTTATCCTTTATACAGTGTACAGTGAAAAACATCCGGGTATGTTCTTAATTTATTTGCTTCAGTTATGTATGATACAAAAGCAGTTTTACTCTAGGACTCAAAACTATATTTTCAAGATTTTACATCGAAAAATAGAGCTCTTAAATCGCGAACTTGATCCTTACGTCTATGGTTAGAATCCTATTGCAGGACGCGGATCGAGAGAGATACGTTGGATGAGACTTACAAACCAAGGTCCTGAGTCGCATCAGGTGATGGCACGAAAAAGATACCTCACTGCTCACAGGTCTGTTGGAAGCAGTTTGACATACATTTGGAAAACATATACTACGACGAATTTGAAAAACTTTGGCCTTAATCTGCCATATGATGCAAAAGTATTTCAGCGACACTTTGTTTGCGACTAAAATGTTTTATCAAAAGATTTTTTTTTAACTCATTGTTTAATTTTTTTCTTCTTATTAGAAAGGAAGAGGAAGAACAATTTTGTTCAATAGCCTATATTTGAAATGGATGCACAAAAACATGATCAGTGCAACTTGTTTCAAACATGTGTTACTTAAATTGATGGGGCAATATTTTGTAAATAATAACGGTCTTGCACATCTGCAATAATACTTTTATAACCATATCGCACCTCATGTGATACACGAGTTAGTTCTTTGTGTCATTTGGTTCTCATGTGGTAAGATGAAGCGGAAGAGAGATGCAAGTTAAAGAAGGAAAGGAGAAGAAGATTAGTTACCATGTCGTAGAGTAGGGTCTCCCCCATAGCCAGCTTTCCCGCCGGAAATCCTACTCTGTAGAGTATGAATTCCCCCGAGGGGAAATCTCACACCAGAGCCAAATTTCCCCTCTTTCTTTCTCAGAGTAGGATTCCCCCCCCCCCCCTTGTCAATATAAACCACAGACGCAATATTTTTGTAAAATTTTTAAAACATGTAAAATCAAACTGATTTTTAGATGGTGAATGAGTGTTTTTCGACATGTAGCAAGGATTTTCGAAGCATAAATTTCAAATTATGTTTCAAATAAAGAAATGTACATTGTAATACCAAAAAATTATAGCCCAATACTTCCACTCGTTTAGAATAACATTGCGGAAAACCCTTTGTAACGGCAGAGATGTGCGGTTATGGATCGGCCCTCTCGTAGATAAAATAAGGTTTACTTAGGTTTTAACTGATGAAGTTTAATTCAAAACAAAAATACGGGTATTCCCGCCGCAGTGTCACAAGATACCAAACTTCACCGTGAAACTGTAAACAAAAACAGTTACACAGATTCAATACATAGAAAACTAATAACAGCTAGATCGAATATGCAAAATACACATACAAAATAAACTCATTTACCTCCTTGTGCCTTATTCTCGCAAGGATGTGAGGGCTAGTCGCACCATGTGCTTGCCGCCATGAACATAAAAATAACGCAAATGATACAAGATTACCTCATTGTACAAAAGAGTTCCAACTACGGTAGCATGTGCGGGCGTAACATGGCTCCCCAAATTAGTGAATAACTAATTTTAACATATATACAATCATATAACTACTACAACGTCTATGAGGGGACACTCTAGTTCCTACGATGGCTCCTCGGTGGGGTCTTCCCCGGTCTCGTTTTCTAGCAACAATACTAACTTATGAACAGGTCTCTCCAGTGTAGAAAGCTGACTGTTTCTCTTGCCGTTCTTATCCAAACTGCTATCCCCGATAGCTAATCTAACACTCCGGACAAATCCATCCTCACTTGCATATGTCTCTATGACACGGCCAAGATGCCATTGATTTCGAGGTAAGTTGTCATCCTTCACTAACACAACATCTCCTGTCTGGATATTCCGTCTGGGCGAGGACCACTTTGTACGCGTCTGGAGGGTCTGAAGGAATTCCTTTCTCCAACGTATCCAGAATTCATTGGCCAAGTATTGTATGCGGCGCCATCTCTTACGGCAATACAAATCAGGCTTCTGGAACTCACCAGGTGGTGGTAGGACAACCTTAGACTTCATGGTCAGAAGGTGGTTCGGTGTGATAGGTTCAGGTGCGAATGGATCATGCAAGTTCGAAATGGTAAGTGGGCGACTGTTGACAATAGCCATAGTCTCACAGAAAAAGGTTCTAAGAGCCTCATCGTCTAACTGCATACTAAAATCCTGTAAAAGGGAAGAAAGCACATTGCGAACTGTCCTGATCTGCCGTTCCCAAATTCCGCCCATATGACTCGCTGATGGAACGTTCATTTTGAAATGGATATAATCACATCCGTCAGCTGTGAGAAACTGCTTCAAACGACTATCATCTAATTCTTCCAAAGATTCTCTGAGTTCTCTCTCAGCCCCGACAAAGTTTGTGCCTCTATCTGATCTCAGTTGTCTTACTGGTCCACGTATCGCTAGAAATCTGCGCAGAGCGTTGATAAATGAACTAGTGTCGAGAGAGTTTGCAGTTTCTAGATGCACGGCTCTCGAAGACATACATGTAAAGAGAACTCCATATCTCTTCAACTCTCTTCTCCCTTCTTTGATGTAGAATGGTCCAAAAAAGTCTACACCACTGTATGTAAAGGGTGCGTCTGCTGCAAGTCTGTCAGCAGGTAAGTCACTCATTTTCTGATCTTGTGTTTGGCTGCGACGTTTACGACATTTCACACATCTCGAAATGACACTATACACAGCAGAACTGCAGCCAATAATCCAATAACCATTTGATCTTATCTCATTCGTGGTAATACTTCGTCCTTGGTGTCTGCTGCGTTCATGAAAGTGTCTGATGATAAGCCTTGTAACATGTGACTTCCTTGGTAGAATGATTGGATGCTTAACATAAGACGTAAATTCTCCCTTCCGCAAACGACCTCCGACTCGCAAAACATCATTATCATCCAAAAATGGGTCAAGTCTGTAAAGGGAGGATGTCCTCCGAACGGATTTCTTCCTGTTAACTTCCTCACATTCCTTGGTGCTGTTAAGAAGTTTCAATTCTTCACTAAAGGCCTCTTTCTGAACTAATCTTACAATAGTCAATTCTGCTTTCTCCAATAATGCTACTGGCAATCCTTGCTCCTTGCAAAGCACTGCGTCTATTCCCTTCTGACAGGCGTCCTTCTTAAGTAATGACTTGAACTTAAAACAGTTCGCTATGAGTCTCTTTGCCTGGGTCCAATCAGAAAAACGATCCAAATGGTCTGTCAATGATTCATATTCAGTAGGTTCCACCTTTGTCTCAAACACCTGGCAACGCTTAACCTCTGGGTCATCGTCGGATATAGTTGGCTTGCTGACAGGCTGACCAGTAAATGGTAAACTGGACTCCCATAGAAACTTGGGTCCTCTGAACCATTCCTTCCTCTTTCGTAACTCATCAGCTGTAACACCACGTGATGCCATGTCTGCTGGATTCTCTGCTGAACTGATATAGTTCCACTGATATGGTTCTGTGTGATCACGAATCTGTTGAAGTCTGTTGGCAACAAAAACATGAAATCGTCGAGAATCGTTAGCAATGTATCCCAGAACAACGGTGCTATCTGTCCAGAACCATTCGACAACATTGCTAATTTCAAGCTCTTCTAGAAGTTGGGAGCTGACCTTAACAGAAACGAGCGCAGCAGTAAGTTCCAAACGAGGTACGGTTACTGGCTTGAGTGGCGTGACCCTGGATTTTGCCATAACTAAAGAGCAGTGTACTTGCTGCTTGTCGTCAATGAGACGAAGATATGAGCACTGGCCATACCCAATAGTGCTCGCATCTGAGAAATGGTGTAACTCAGCTACAACAACGTCTCCAAAGTTCTCCGGTTTTAGACATCTCTTGATTTCCAAGGAACCAAGCTGCTCAAGATCATTTCTCCAACATCTCCATCTAGGTCTCAAGTTCTCTGGAAGAGGGCTATCCCAATCTGTCTGGTTTCTACACATTTCCTGCAAGATTTGTTTCCCAACTAGGACGAAAGGTGCTATGAATCCAAGTGGGTCAAATACGGAACTCAAGGTCGACAAAACCCCTCGTCTAGTAAGAGGACGGTCTCTCAGTGTAATCTTGAACTGAAATGCGTCTGTCTGAATACACCACTGTATACCTAAAGTTCTTTCCATGGGAAGCTTGTCATGGTGTATGTCAATATCTGCTAGTCCCTTTGCTCTTTCTTCAACTGGAATGCTCTCCAAAACTTCCTTTGAGTTTGAGAGGAACTTGTGTAACTTCAAACCACTTCTGCTGCACAACTCTTTGCTTCTCTCTATGATGCTAATGGCTTCCTCTGGAGTAGCTACCGACTTCAGTCCGTCGTCAACATAGAAGTCTCGTTTGATGAAGTTCCCAACATCAGACCCAAACTGAAGCTCTCCGTCTGTGGCAGCTTGTCTCAAGCCAAAGTTGGCGCATCCTGGAGAAGATACTGCTCCAAATAGATGTACAGTCATTCGGTAAGTAGTAGGATCCTTATCAAAATTGCCATCATCCCACCACAAGAATCGTAGGTAATTTCTATGTTCAACATTCACCTTGAACTGATGAAACATCTGCTCAATATCACAAACAAAGGCCACTGGCTCTTTGCGAAATCTACACAAAACTCCAAAAAGCATATTCATCATGTCAGGTCCTTGCAGCAAATGGTCATTCAATGACTGCCCCATATACCTTGCACTGCAATCGAAGACTACACGCAGCTTTCCTGGTTTTTGCGGATGATATACACCATGATGTGGGATATACCACTCCTGACCACTATCCACACCAAGTTCCGTCTTCGGTACTCTTTCCGCAAAACCATTTGATATCAGCTCTTTCATAAAGGAAACGTAATGCTCGCTATACTTTGCGTCTTTCTCAAGTCGTTTCCGCAAGACTTGAAGTCGCTGAAATGCCATGTCTCTATTATTGCTCAGGTATGGCATTGCTTCTCGGAAAGGCAGTGACATTTCATAATGTCCATCACACTTATGAATCCCCTTTTCCATGATATCCATAAATTTTCTGTCTTCGTAGGAAACATGTTTTGAACTGCTAAAGTTCTCACTGAAATCCACTTCAAGCATCCTAACTACCTCTTCAGGGTTGATTACTTCCTTTATCTTGTTCCTTACTGAAAATACAACATGATCTTGCCTTGATGCTTCAGATGTACACAATTCTGTAGGCACGTTGCACGCAACAATACAATGACTAATTCCTATGGGATCCTCTTCCCATTCCGTTGAACTGTCATTCTCCATTATGCCTACTACACTCCATCCCAAGTCAGTGCGTTGACCATAAGGTCCGTCTTCGGATGGAACGATAACATCTCTAGGCGTCAAGGCCTTCACACAGTTGTAACCAATAAGTAATCCAACTTCGCAATCAGTCAGCGGTAGGAGTTCATCTGCAATAGCCTCCAGATGGGGCCACCTTCTCGCAACTTCCGGTGTCGGGATATGGGATCTGTTGGCAGGCATGATAGCTCTTGTATACGTCTCCGGTAATGTTATCCTGTGTTCACTATTGAAGCCACGCACAACAAGTCCTCCAATCTTACAACTATCTATGGCCTTGTTCTCTGCATACATAGTAGATAGCATGAGCTTCACAGGTCTACCTGTAAGTCCAAGGGCCCTTGAAGTCTTCTCCAGAATAAAGGTTGTATCTGATTGCGTGTCAAGTAGCGCATACACTAACCTCTCTCTTTCTGGGTTCTCTTTATGTGACACATAAACTGGAAGTATCATGGTACTTTTACTAGATGCTCCGGAGTGATTCATAAGTGTTGTTCCTGACGAATTTTCCTTTGGCACTGCTGCCTTATCCACCTCCTCTGTAACCTGGTGCTGTTCTCGTCTATGGATGTCCCCGTGTAAAGATGAGGGGTGAAACTTGGAACAAGTTTTGCATCTTTTCCTCTGACGACACTTCCTTGATAGATGACCCGAATGTAAACACCCAAAACACAAACCTTTCTGCTTTGCGTACTGTTTTCTTCCTTCCAGACTCTTTGCTAAGAATTGTTTACAGTCATCTAGTTCATGATTTCCTTCACACAAAACACAGTTTCTCACTCTGTCACTTTTATTTGCAACGTTCACATTTGCTGGCTGATTCTCGTCAACGTCTGTCAGGAAAGATCGTTTTCCATAATCAGCTGCACCTCGCTGTTGTATTCTGACATCAGGACGTGGTTTACTCGGCTCTGATTGGGCGAGTTCAGACTTCTTTACAGACTCTATGGAGGTAATAGGGTCTGTCGCAATCTTGGCTTCTTTCACAATAAATTCCATGAAATTCTTGAATGGTGGAAATTCCATTCTTTCTTCTCTATACTGTGTGGCGATCCTACCCCATCTTGTCACAAGCCAGTCTGGAAGTTTGCTCAGCAGTCTTCTGTTCTCTCTGTCATCATTGAGAATGTTCAAGCTTCCAATACTCTGCATGGCCGTATAACACTGCTTGAGAAAATCACCAAATCGCTGCAGTCCAACACCATCTCTCGAGCTTATCTTTGTCCATTTATCCAGTTTGTCACGGAATGCATTGGCAACAATGAATGGGTTACCATATCTTTGGTCTAGCAGTCCTTTAGCCTCCTCATACGCATCATCTGTTGATAACAGAAAATAGTTCTCTATGACATCTTTCACTGGCCCACCCAGATACTTCTTCAAATAATGTATCCTCTCTGAATCTGGAATCTGACGCTGCTCTATGAGTGTTTGAAATGATGCCTTCCAACTTGGATACTTCAACGGATCTCCTAGGAAAATGGTAGGTTCCGGAGGGGGTAAACGACTAAGACTCACTTGCTTCGCTAGTGAAGTAGCCAGATCTAATAAGCCCTGCTCCATGTGTTTGTCATCTTTACTAATGGGTGTAGGATTGCTAAGTGACTGCAAGTCTATGTTGCTTAAGGGTACTCTTGAAGCGGTACTAGTGGCGACATTTTCCTGAAGTGTGTGAGGAGTGAATACTGGAGGAATGAAGTTCCTATGTGAAATCGGTGGTGCTTGCGATACTGGTTCTATCTTTACCTTCGCTTCTGATGGCCTAACCTGAGTATCAATGAACCTTTTCACACGTTCCTTGGAGTCAAGCTCTGGAATCGAATGTTTAAAATCACTGTACGAGAATGGTTCATTACCTTCCAAACTCTCAAGTGCTTCTAACTTAGCCTGTGCTATATCAAGCTCCTTTTGGGTTCTGATCCTTTCAAGGTCTGCCTTGCGTTTTGCCTCTGCATCAATGTACCTCAGTTTTGTCTTCAGCGCCGCTGCCTCCATGACTGTATCTACTGACTTCCTGGAACTTCTGGAGGTATTGGAAACCCTCGTTGACCTTGATGTACGACTGCTGTGCGATCTACCTGAAATCCTGGAGACAGAGTCAAACTCTAATTCTCTCAAGTAATTTGTAATGTCTCTCATTAATGTGTGATTATCTCCTAGAATAATCTCGATCCTCCCCTGGTATTGATCAACTAAATTTCTGTACTTCTCGTCTTCTTCATTTGTTAGCATTTGTTTCAGTCTTTCAAGGATTTCATTCAGACTAGTCGTAATACTAATAAGAACGTCTCTTTCTTGTCTGATTGTAGAGGTATCCTTCGAATCCGAAATAAGAACTTCAATAGAAGCTGCACACTTCCGCCATCTTGTAGCTTTGAGCTTAAAGTCTGAGCATATCTGATCAACTTGCCATTCCAAACCTTTCATGGTCATCTTGCGCTCACGCATATTTAATGTATTGCTTTGACTTGTTTGTCCGGAGTCCTTAGACGTTTCCTCAGAAGTTGTTTTAACATTTTCCTTGTCGTTACCTGTGTTGTTGTCTTCCTTTGTTTCAGGGGGGATAGATGAAAGTGCATCTGTATAGGACATCTCTTCGTTCGACATGTTTGTAACACAGTTAGGGGGTCTAAACTTAGATACAATAAAATGTTACCTACTAGTTATGTGATAAAATATTGCAATAAAATATCGGAACCTTCCCCTAGCACACAAGGTAAATACATGCACATGTATACATATTAAATACAAATCAACATTTGCAACAAGAGTCAGTACAGTTCTAATCTAGAGCACAGTCTTGATAATTGTTCATATGCACAGATATAATAAATACCTAGCACTAATCAATGGCATTAATCAATTAATAGCACACTGTTTACTAACACACAGTCACAAATATGTTATGTATAGTAATGCTAAAATTGTCACTTTATGACGCAAACGTGTCACCATACAATTTACACACAGTTAATGTCATCAACATAAATCGCAAATTATGTTCCGTTCACAGTTACACATCATCACAGAAACATCATGTAGGATCGCAAATACTGTGAAGTCAGAAGGTAGTGGCGTCTTTAAGCTTCCATAGGTCACACTCACCGTTTTCCCCTGGTAAGGAGTTTCACTATAACGGCAGAGATGTGCGGTTATGGATCGGCCCTCTCGTAGATAAAATAAGGTTTACTTAGGTTTTAACTGATGAAGTTTAATTCAAAACAAAAATACGGGTATTCCCGCCGTAGTGTCACAAGATACCAAACTTCACCGTGAAACTGTAAACAAAAACTGTTACACAGATTCAATACATAGAAAACTAATAACAGCTAGATCGAATATGCAAAATACACATACAAAATAAACTCATTTACCTCCTTGTGCCTTATTCTCGCAAGGATGTGAGGGCTAGTCGCACCATGTGCTTGCCGCCATGAACATAAAAATAACGCAAATGATACAAGATTACCTCATTGTACAAAAGAGTTCCAACTACGGTAGCATGTGCGGGCGTAACACCCTTAAAAATTAAAAAGGTCATAATTCCGTAATATAAAAATTATTGAAAAAATTGAACTTTAACTCATCAAAATACACTCCCATACCAAGAATCAGCTCAGTAACATCAAATATTGTAGGGAAAAAGTACGGAAAACCATTTCAGACAGACAGAGGGACAGCTAGACAGGCGGACGGACAGACGTTTCACTGATTTATTTGATCTAAAAAAAACATTTGGTTTGAAAGTTGCTGAGAAAAATGAGATTTGAAAATTTTCCATCTTCGTATACAATGCAAGTATGTTCAGTACATCTGGTCACCATTTTTAAGAAGGGACACTAGTTACAATGTACCGCCTCTCCCCTGCAAAACATAAGTATAGTAATTATATTTTATTAGGAGAAAATTTGAAATCGCTCTATAACGACTACACAGAGTAGAATCACCCCCCCCTCCGGAAAATCGACTCTGGTGTGGGATTTCTGTAGGGGAAATCCTGCTTTAGAGCCAGTTTTCTGTGGGGGTTATCCTACTCTAGAGCCATTTGGGGGGGGGGGCATTCTACTCTAAAGCCAGTTTTCCGGGGAAAAAATTTTAGGGCAGAAAGTCTACTCTACAAGACCGGTACAGAATTGATCCAGAGGAAGGGTTAGAATTAAATGAAGTAAAAATAAAAATGATGAATGTCTATTTTATAGTGTATATAAGGATGCAAACCGAACTATCCATTATATTTCCAGTGCTTAAAGAATATGAGGTCGGCAAGGACTTGTTTTTGTACTGCACAGTCGAGAAAATTGAAGAGGTGAGAAATTTATACGTAAAGTTAAAAAAAGCAATTAACAACTTTTAAATAGTTTCACAAAGTTCCCTTTCTTTCATGTCTTACTTTTTAGTATTTATGTCACCATAAAACAAGTCGAGACATGTTATTGCTACACATTTTTAAAGATTGAAATCGCCACCGTTTCAATGGAAACAAACAAAAAATGTGGATTTTTTTGTTCTCAGAAATTGCACAGCGAATCTTTCTGAAATTTTAGAGGATGTTCCTCATCTTATCTTTTTTCAATTGTTCGATTAATATACACGTAAATGTTGGAAAAGGCTGGATTAGAGTTACGGAGCTCTGACAACAATCAGTTCCAATATCAGTGTTTGTGTATGATTCAGTCTTCAAATAAATGTGTTTTCACTAATCAAGAGCCCTGCTCTTTCACCAAAACACCTGATACAGGAAATTTTAATATATATTTTTTTTTTTACAATTTTATGAAACATGGATCCTTGCCCATCAGAACCTTGAGTATGGTTTGCCTGTTTATGCATATAATTTGCCTAGGGTACGACTTGGTATATCCCATCTTCCCAAGTCAAGAGTTTCTATGGCAAGCCCTTTTACTATTTATTCATGAAATAAAAAATTTCTTTCAATAAGAGAGATATCTCTCTAGCATAAAGAGATATCTCTCTAGCTTATAGGGATATCTCTCTAACTTTAAGAGATATCTCTCTCGCCTAAAGAGATATCTCTTTAAACAAAAGGGATATCTCTTTTTGTAAGAGAGATATCTCTTTTACTTAGAGAGATATCTTTATAAGCTAGAGTGATATCTCTTTAAGCGAGAGAGATATCTCTTAAAGTTAGAGAGATATCTCTTTAGCAAGGTTAAAAGAGATATCTTTCTAAGTTAGAGAGATATCTCTTTAGATATTAAAAAAGAGATATCTTTCTAAGCTTAAGAGATATCTCTTTTAATGAAAGAGATATCTCTTTTCTAGTTATCCTTAAAATAGAATAATTAATTCTTCACTTTAAAACGAAAGTGAAACAGGAAGTAAAGTCTCTATAATAGTTTCGATGTTATAAGAAAAAAGACTGAGCAAGCATTTACCCAGAATAGTATATGTACTGTGTAGACAAAAATGCTATAAATCCCTTACTTGAAACAACAAATAATAATGGCAACTTCGTTGACAAAAATGCTAAAAGTTTAATATTCAGGAAAACGAAAGTAAGCACATATAGAATCTCAAATTCAATGGACCGAATTTTCTCAGCTTTTGAAATAATCATCTATTTCTAATATGAAATCTAGACAAAACTGAATTACTTGTGTTTAATTAAGCTATAATGTAGAATATCATGAAAATGTCGAATTTAAAAATACTTTAATGTACTTCCGTGAATAAAAAGCTTACTTCTGGTAAAGGGAGAAGTCATTTAAATGGAATTGAAATAAAAATAATGAAGAGAGATATCATTTTGTAACAAAGAGATATCTCTTTTTGCTTGAGATATATCTCGTTTAGACACTTTGAAAGATATCTCTTTTACTTTAAGAGATATCTCTTAAGATAAACTAAGAGAGATATCTCTTTTACTTTAAGAGATATCTCTTTAACTTAGAAAGATATCTCCAAAAGTAAAAGAGATATCTCTCAAGGTGAAAGAGATATCTCTTTAACGTTTAGAGATATCTCTTTTCACGAAAAAGATATCTCTCAAGGATAAAGAGATATCTTTTCAAGTGGAAGAGATATCTCTCTAATAAAAAGAGATATCTCTCTAAATATAAGAGATATCTCTTTAAGTTCAAGAGATATCTCTTTCTCAAAGAGATATCTCTTAAAAATGAGAGACACCTCTTTAAGCTGGGAGATATCTCTGTAATTTTAAGATAGATTTTATTTTCCGAATAAATAGTAAAAGGGCTTGCCATAAGTTTCTGATCCACTCCGCTCCACATAAACCCTTGACCGAATAGATTAAGTTTGACGGGGATTACTGTCTCGCCATCTAGTGAGATTACACATTTTGAACTCTAATGACCTCTGTTATTGGCAAATCAGAGTAAACGAATTCAACAGAGAATTTGAGGTAATATTGGATGTTTGTAATAAATTCAATATAAATCAACTAAAACCTTCAACTTGGCTATTTAATGATAACGACGTTATCCTTGGGATTAAAACTGGCTTGCTTTTCTGTTTACAATTTAGTTTAAATTTAAATAAAACAATGATTTTGATTGGTTCATGCAGACTTGCATGAGACCAATCAGAAAACGCATTTCTAACCCCGTCAAACTTAGCCTATTCGGCCAAGGGTTTATGTGGAGCGGAGCGGATCAGAAAATCTTGACTTGGGAAGATCTGTACAGTTGTATATCCCAACTGATCGCAAGTTTGAATATTAGCTTTAGAATCAAGATATGTTACAATGAAATTTGCGTACTTTACAATGATTACGCATCATGCATGCAGACACATGCAAATTGTTGAGAGAACGATTGTTGGGTGATTTATATCCTATCCGATCTCTCACCAATCTATGAAATGTTAGTAAAGTCCGCAAATGTAGCAGGAAAATCTTTGGACGTTCCTAGGAAGACCACCTTTTCGATCCATCGTTGAGTAACTGTTTTGGGGAGATTCAAAAGTTTGAGGAGATCGTGGAGACTGTGGTGACATTTGGAGGATTACTAGGGACCTTCGAAAGATCGATGAGAGATAGGATATTTTTGAAAAGCTCAGCGATCTTTCAACGGTCGCCAACTTAATGTATAGTAAAAGGACGTTGAATGTGCAAATACTTCATGAGTATTTAAATATCTATCTTGATCTTTGTTTTTTTTATTTAGGCAATGTGGAAGAATGAAAAACAAGTCATAACAATTGGTGAACGTGTTTTTGGTGGTGATAAAAGAATCTCAATCGTCCCTAAGGGGTCAACTGGATATCAACTGAAAATAAAGGGAATGAAATCAGAAGACGAAGGAAATTACACATGTAAACACAAATCTAAGGCTGATATATATCAACAATATGCAATAAAGCGCAAGGGTAAATATATTTATATTCTATTAATGAATATCATTGTTTGCCATACAGCTCCTAAAGGGCTAAAAAGATACGGTTTTCACGAAATATTGGCATTGGAATAGTTGTGTTCAGTAGCGGATCGACTTGCAATAAGTTTCAGATGATGCGAGTGACCAACATTTTCTTAGTGAATAACCAGGGAGTTTCAATACATATTGAAATTTGAAAGCACATTTCTGATTGTAGGGGATGGAGTATATCTTTTCATTTTTCTTATGTTGTTTTCCATTTAAATATCAGTTGTTATTCACATATATCAAATGTAACGACAGTAACTTAATACCATTAACATTTTATGACAAATTAAGGTATACTTGTAAATGAGAAAGTATTGATCAAAATAAACTAAAAATTATTTAAAATTTATAGAAATTAAGAAGCATTTTTTTCCATAATTTCTTCCGTTTAAAGTCAAAGTATCAATTGCAAACAACACGTTCAGTGGATCTGTTGTTCGTGTCATGGAGAATGAGACTGTCATTCTTTGGTGTAATGCGTCTGGATATCCGGAACCCAGCGTCTCCTGGTATGTTATTGACACAGATAATTTGCAAGGCGAGAAAATAACAGGTATTTTGATTTGTTTTTTTTCTTAAACAAACAAAGTTTTGAAAATGTATGTCCAAAAAGTTGAAAGTCAAATAAAGTTACTAATAATTATTTAATTTCGGCTAGCATTGGGAATAAACGGAAACATGCTTGGAATTCAAAATGTGTCTCGTGACTGTGCCACAACATTTCAATGTCAAGCAGTCAACAGTTACCTGACAGATATAATAGCTAAACGAACCATCAAGCTGGTCGTCAATTGTAAGTCAATATTCCTATAACATTATCTATAATGGTTAGTTTTAATCAATGAAGCAAATTCATAAAATAGGAAGATTTACGACTAATAATATTGTCTCTCACTCCTTTTACACCTCACGCGAAATAGATATCATGACTTGTAATATGAAAACTAATTTAGGGAATAACTATCTTCAAATTTGGTATTTGCGACCGTTAATGCTGATTTAACGGTCGCAAACTGAGTTTTACCGGCGACGCGTAAGCGGAGCCGGTAAAACGGATGTTTGCGACCGTTAAATCAGCATTAATGGTCGCAAATACCAGATTAAAAGATTAGTTATTCCCATTCTAATGCAATTCATGTATTTTGTTTGTTGTTTACGTCTTATTTGGTTGAATTTTGTCACATGAAATACGTCAAGGGGCATTGTGTTTTTGCGTCGCTCTATTATGACGTCACAATGAAAAAAGCTTTCACGCTCGTTAATGCTCGTTTTACTGCTTCAAACATCAGTGCATTAGCCAATCAAAACTTGTTTTACAAAACAATTGCATTAGAATATAAATTAACACAAATATCTGATACTCAAATTACATTAAAGTCACAAGTCTTTAGTCTCACATAAAGTATCAGACATTAAGATTTATAATAATATAATTCCATTAAAAAATAATTGAAGCGGAACATAATGCAGATATTATCTGTAATTTACCAAGATATACTCACATACCAAAAATCAGCCCAAAATCTGCAAGCATTTAGAAAAAAAGTGTGGAAAGTCCTTTAAATTTAAAAATGCCGCTATTCCCTCAAAAATCAATGAAGTTGAAAGAAATTTAAACTCTTTTTTGTAACTCATCAAGATACATTTACATTACATAAAAATCAGCTCGATATCTGTTAAGCGTTTAGGAAAAAAGTGCGGAAAACCAAGATGGACAGACTGGCAGACAATCAGAGGGATAGACAGACTGACGGACAGCTAGACAGACAGACAGACAGACAGGTGGAAGCACTCAGAGGAAACCTATAGTCCCCTCCAGTTTCACTGATAGTATTAATCAGATTCTGAGAGTATTAAATTAGCAATACTAACCACTACCGGCGAGTGTAATCTGGTCCCCATTAAAAATTTAAAATGTTGCAATTCCGTCAAAAAACAACTGTCAGAAGCGGACCAAAAAGCAAAATTGTGATTGTAAACCATTTAGATACAATCACATACCAAAAACAAATTAGCTCAATATCTGCAAACATTTAGAGTGATAAAAGTGCGGAAACCCTTTGAAAATTAAATAGGCCATAATTCCCTAAGAAATCAATGAAGCGTAACGAAATTCAATTTTTTTGTAACTCGTCACGTACACTTACGCACCAAAAATCAGCGCAAGTTTTAAGATAAAAGTAAGTAAAACCAAGTGTAACAGACTAACAGACAGCTAGACATAGAAACAGACACACGGACGGACAAACTCAGAGGAAACCTATGGTCCCCTCCGGTTTAACGGATTTAATGGAAAATAGACAAAATGTTGAATGTTCATTTCCATTTTTCGGATGAGTCACAAAAAGATCAACTTTTTAACATCCTGATTATGTGCATAATGTGTTCAGAAAGTAAGGAAACTAAATGTTTCGACCCCCGGCTTTTAATTTCCAAATTTATGTAAAAAAAAAATCTTATCAAACTTTACAATATCTTTATAGAAACTGCAAAATAAAAATGAGAATTCTTTTTTATAGTCAACTGAATTTTATGTGAAGAGCGACATGTAAATATTTTTTATTTATATGAATTTTTTTTTTACTGGTAATCTTCCATATCCATAGATTGACATTTAGTCAACTCACAGAATTAGATGTTCCATGTTTAAGTAATGTTTCACAAACAAATACTGTACTTGTAATGACAATTAAGATATGACAAGCATCACCAGTTTTAGTTTTTTTTTTTTTTTTTTTTTTAGTTTTTCCTGAAATTTCTGCAAATGGCTTCATTAACGACAAGAAAATTTCAAGGCAAATTCTTCATGGAAAAATGTCCGATAAAGTTAAATTAACATGCGCTGTATTTTCAAGTTCACCTCTGAATGTAACATGGTTAAGAGATGATGAAGAAATTGGATGGTATTCAAGTCTAACCGGCGAGGATAAGAACAAATTGACCCACTTAAATCCTTATTCATTAAAATCAAATACCGCCCAAATCGAGAAAAGGATCATCGAAGTCGTTCTTACATTCCAGTTGGACACTGGCACTTTTTCCATCTACAATTGTAAAGCGGAAAATGAAGTAGGATCTAATATAAAGACTATTGATATTAGGAGGATTGGTACACGCTGATCTTTCTGTGTCAAACCACTACGAAGAATTAAAAAGGGACTAACTAAAAACTTGGAATGAGGGGGATTAATCTTACCGGTGAACACGTATTCCTTGTTATAACAATTAATGTACAGCAGAGAGTGAAAAAGGGATTTTGTTACAAATTTTGAAGCTACATTGTATATTGCATTGAATTTTACCCCAATGTGCAGCGGAGGATGAATCAAGATCGAAATGGTAAACGCTAATGTCTATGTCACTGTACATATACTTTAGAAACAACTGAATCCAGGAGGATCCAGAGAATATAACAATTATTTACATAAAGAACATCAAAGATAAATGAAAGCAGTGTGCTAATATTTGATTTGTTATTACTTTTTGTTCCATTCCTTTTATAAATTTCGGACGAAATTAAACCTCTTTTCAATATTTATATCGTATCTTATTTTGTTTTTGATTTTCAATGAACGTGTACATATATTATTAACTTATGCACTGTTTTTAAATGTTTCTTAATATGATTGAACCAATCTCTATATTATAGAGGAAATAAAGAAGGTTTGTTTGTCTGTCTGGAAGCAATATTCTTTTGTTGTTCCCAAAAATTATTGAATTTTTTTTTTGGTAAAAGGTTTTTCCCCCAAAATTTTCATGATAAAAAGACAAAGAAAACAGAGAAACAAACACACTACTAAACTCTAAATATTTACAGTGTTACGTTTTATTTGATACGGAAGCCCATTAGTGCCAACCAGTATATATAAAGGAAAAGCGATATATAAAAGCAAACCTCTATATATAAAGAAAATGCGATATATATAAAGAAAACCTCGATATATATAAAGAAAACCTCGATATATATAAAGGAAATGCGATATATATAAAGAAAACCTCGATATATATAAAGAAAACCTCGATATATATATAAAGGAAATGCGATATATATAAAGAAAACCTCGATATATATAAAGGAAATGCGATATATATAAACAAAACTTCGATATACATAAAGAGATAAATTTCCACTGCCTGACCTTTAACATGTTTAATGACCTACATTACATCGCCAACATATGATAAGCAGCTCCCGGTCCAATGTTTTGATTTCAATCAGTTGGTGTGGCTGTTTCAGGATGGTATTCAGCGTGTTGTGTTTTCTTCCTTTGTGTATCTTGATAATTATGACAATTAAATCTAAAGCTTAAACACTCTGTTCTACTTATATTTCAGACGTGTTGGGCAGAATTACACCAATGAGTGACTTTTTGGCTTAAAATGTATATTACATAGCACTAAATGTTGGGAGTCTTTTTCAATCGAAATACAATTCGGTGCAAAAATACAAATGTGTTTTATCATTCTTTATAAGTTCTTTAACGTTTTACTATGTTTTTACATGATGTAGATTTTCAAATCGATTTAAATTACGATGTGGGACAAAAATCCGCAGTTTAACATGTGAATGTGCATGCACTGACTCGTTTCTTTTTATCTATTAACAAATACTTTATTTTTTCACACCAAAAGACCCTTAAATTATTACATATACGGTAAAAATACATGTCGCTTCCTTCCCTCATGTTCAAATGAATTGGGTACCTTCATCTCTCCCCTCTCTCCCATTCCGATTCTTTTTTTTTCTTTTCTTTTCAATCAATGGGCGTACTCGTAAATTATTTTTATAATGAATTTAAATAAATTTGAATTAGGACATTAAAAAAAGTTCTTGTTAAGACCCCACGTTTAACATTATATTTTCATAAATTCTCGATTGTGAAACCAAAGTTAGTAAGTTTGGTAAAAAAAAAACAAGGTAGGTTGTAAAAAAAACGAAGTTAATCAAAATACATGTAAAGCCAATAAAACAGAGAAAATACGATACATATGTTACATTAAAAGTTTAAATCTAAAGTTTAAACTTATCTGTAACTATCTAGATAAGTTTAAACTTTAGATTTAAACTTTTAATGTAACGCATATACTTAATTATGAATGCATTTAATTAAATGCTCTTCTTCTCAATTAAGTGCATTATTTTAAGTAATGTTGATATATGCATGTACAAACAAATAAACACTATGAAATAGCAACATTTTTCCGATTCTGGGAAAGTTCTGAGTACTGTACGTATAACTGATTTCCCCCTGCCAGGAGTTAATCTGTATATAATCTTGATGGGCAGCTGAGTGCTACAGGTCACGCAGTGGAAAATTTTCTCTTTATATATATCGCATTTCTCTTTATATATATATCGAGGTTTTGTTTATATGTATATCGCTTTTCTCTTTTTATATATCGAGGTTTTGTTTATATATATCACATTTCCTTTATATATATTCAGGTTTCGTTTATATATATCGCATTTCCTTTATATATATCCAGGTTTTGTTTATATATATTGTATTTCCTTTATATATCGAGGTTTGCTTTTATATATTGCATTTCCTTTATATATAGAGGTTGGCACTAATGGGCTTCCGTAATTTGAAGTTTATAGTCAGTTGACTATAAAAAAAAACCCTTCACATTGAAAATGTAACACTGAATAATTACAACTGTACCTTGAGTTTTATGTCCAAAAGTATAGTTTTATTTAAACTACTTAACTTTTAACTGCATTCTAACGAGAGAAAAAAAATAAAGATTTAGTTCAAAGAATCATATTAAACACTGTCAAAAGTTTATTAACGTTCATTCATGAGACTGAAACATGTTAAAGTATCAATAACAATTGCGAAAAAGTCATGAATATTTATATACAATGAACGAAATAAACAATTATGTGATATTACTGATATAAAAAAGATAAAACATGAGACAAGTTAAAATACATGTAAATCTTGCATTTTTTGGGAAACATTCATTGCCTTCAGTAGGCTAATAATCCAGTAAACATCTTGTCTTTGATTATTTAAGAAAAAATCTCTCTAACAATTTTGTGTAATTAAAAATTAATGTATCACCTCTGAAAACTGACAGAATGTAAAACTAGATTTATTTCTGTTCCGGGTATACAACTACTTTGAAATCCCTAGGGACTTTCACTTTTCTACTTGTATATGCTCACTAGTCATGAATCACAAGATTGAAAATATATAAACTAGCTTAATAAAAGATGAGACAAGAAATTTTACCTAAATGAGTGTATGTTATTCAATGTGTTGGAATACATAAATACATAATTTACAACAAAGCAAACACCCAAACAACTTGTTCAAGATTTCCATCGAGAACATGAATTACAGCAAACGTTCATGTAAAACACGTGTTCACACAGTTTTCTTCGCACTACTAATTCACATCTGGAATACCGATCCCGACATCCGGAATCTGAATAAGACAAATGAAATCCATCGTCATTTATTGCAGATAATATAAACATACATGGACAAGTGTTCTTATAACAATAAATCACTTAAATATTTTTAACAGAAAGCAATTATTTTCATACTTTAGCATATCTCTCTATATATTTTTTAAATTAATGTTCTCTTCTAATATGTTTTAAAGTGTTTTCATCACATACCCGCGACCGTTTCTCTCCTGCAAGGGCCTTGTTTACACAATTCTACCCCTGTTGGTTTCCGTCGAATGTTACAGCTGTTGGCAGGTGCACCATACGTGTCCAAGCATTGCACATCACGTGATTTTCTACCCTTTCCACAAGTAACAGAACACTAAAATAAAGGGTCAAGATGTGCATCGTTTTTATTCTACAACTATATTTTACATGAACTATGCATGACGGCTTATAAGAAGAACAAGTTTATATTTTAGTGATTTTTTTTTCAAATAAGCATATATATACAAATATGTGTATGTACATTTTAAACTGAACTAATATATACTCCTTGTTCTTGTTCAGTATACCTCTCCCCATGATGACATGAACCACTGTGGTCCACAAGGACTAACTGCCTGACAAGGTTTTCTTTGTATAGGTTTGTCTTGTAGTGAACAGCTGTAGTCAGGTATTATTGAGAGACTTCCTCTTCCTGATTTACTGATACATACAACTTCTCGATTCTGATATCCGTCACCGCATGTGGCATTACACTATACCGGGAAAAGAAGATTAAAGTCAGCTGAATACAAAACTTACAAATACAACAATAAACGCAATTGTGCAAATAATAATTTCAGTTAAAAATGTTTTCTTTGTCAAGAAGTGCATAGAAGTCATGTCTTGCTTATGTAAAGAAATGTTTACCATTGATGGAGGGAGTAAGAGATAACTTGTAGATTTCAGTTACCTTGCTCCAGGGTCCTGTAAACCAATTTCCATAACATCGTCTTGAATTACAAACACGTTCCGTTTCCGGTTTATCACGTTGCAAACAGCTTCTTCTTGGGTCTGTATTTACATTTGTTCCATAACAGACGACGTTTCTTGTTTGTTTACCCTCTCCACATTCTACAGGACACTGCACATGAACAGAAGAAATTATACCTTAATTGAGCCTCGGCTTACCTTAAATTTCAATTTTACAGAGAATAATTTAGGCATGTACAGTGTATAATTTTTCTCAGAGATTTTTTTCAAGTAACTTACATCTCTACTCCATTCTGTGACATACCAGGACTTCATATTTACATAAACAGAAGAGACCCTCTCCGTTCTACATTCTCCATAACTACATTTTGACTTTTCTTCTGGTTTTTCCATTGGATCACAAAAGTCATTTCGAACACGCCTTCCCTCTTTAGACATACATGTCACACTACGCATGCGTTCTCCGCGTCCACATGTCACTGAACACTTACAATAAAAAAAAGTTGGTAAGTTATAGCCTTTGTTTTTTGTATAAAATTTAATTGATCCTTTTGATACAGGGTTATGTACCCTTTCAATTAGGAATTTTATTTCGAAATACTTAGTTCTGGCGAAATTTATTTAGATACATGTATGTATCGTCTGAATTTTTCTGAAGATAAATACTGTTATACATGTATTCTCAAAATTTGTAAAATATATAAATATATATGTTTATTAGTATCTAGCGAAATTTACGGAAGCGTATTAGGGCCGCAGCAGTATTTTTTTTAAATTTGTTATAACAAATTATTAATTTGTTTAAACAAATTATTAATTTGTTTAAACAAATTGATAATTTGTAATAACAAATTGATAATTTGTTATAACAAATTGATAATTTGTTATAACAAATTGATAATTTGTTATAACAAATTAATAACTTGTTTAAACAAATTAGTAATTTGTTTAAACAAATTAGTAATTTGTTTAAACAAATTAGTAATTTGTTATGACAAATTAGTAATTTGTTTAAACAAATTACTAATTTGATAGAACAGATTACTAATTTGTTTAAACAAATTATTAATTTGATTTAACAGATTATTAATTTGATATAACAGATTATTAATTTGATTTAACAGATTAGTAATTTGATTTAACAGATTAGTAATTTGATAAAACAAATTACTATTTTTAACAAAATTTGAAATGTATACAATCTACGAAAGCCAGATCAAATCAAAACTCTTAGTATATGTCGGATTTATGAAAATAATTTGCAACTGGCAAAGTTTTTGGCAAATAAGGCTTTAGTGGGGCTAATGAGAGCTTTTCCAGCAGGTTCTTTTTTTAGTATTAAAAAAAATTCATGCATACAAAAGAATTGAATGACACATTAGGAATTTAATATCAAATTGCACCAAGAGATACCCACTCAAGAATATTGTGGGTTTTATTTTTTCGTTCGTTTTCCGGGGAAGGTTGTTACGGAATGTATTTTTTTCTTGATAATTTATCTGCAAATTCATTTTGGTCAATGGTTCCTCTGTTACTCACAGCTTTATAGGAAACCATGGAGGTTCACCACGGGAGCAGATCCAGGATTTTACATAGATGGAATTGTATTTGGTTTAAAGATTTTATTCTTTACACATGAATTGGGTTGAACAGTAGACATAAATGCCTGTCGAAAAACAGTATTCAAAGTAGATCATGTCACATGTAAAGGAAGAATCCAGAGAGAGAGAGAGGGGGGGTTAAAATGAACAAAAACAAAACACAAACTAGAGGTACTGTGAGCAATGAGCGCAATAAATGATACCCCCGCCTCCCATACGCTTATAATGACAAAGTCCATGTTTTGCTGTGGCCGGGAAACCCAAAATATGTGTCGGATCAAAATGTAAAATAGGAGGTGCACACTGGCAATATGTTATGTAATAAAGATTCTGTGAAAGTTTCATTAAATTTCACTTCGTGGTAAAAGAGGAGTTGCGGATAAGAGATGGGTACTCCAAAGCGTAACAGACGGACGGACAGACATACCGATTATGATATACCCTCCCACTTTTCAAGCGGAAGGGGGGGGTATAATAAAACAATTTAAACTGTAACAGTCTGTTGCATGGCTCAAATAAGATAATATTTTTCCTAGCATACGAATTGGGTGATATGACTAAACAGAGTTGGAAAGGGGGGGGGGGCACGTATGGACAAACTTTCATTAAAGCTTCTAAGAACAAGCTATAAGGAATAGAATCTACACTGTAGGACATTGATGCAATTCATCATGACATTGATGTTTGAAGTGAAAACTCTGAGCTGTAAGAAGAAACATATAGGTCAAAAGCTTTGCAGACTGTGTGCTTATTGTTTCACAAATTCAATATTTTAAAGATTTCTAATCTGATATAGATTCCATAGTTCTGTGTACATGTCAAATATCCAAAAATAGTAATTTGTTATAACAAATTAGTAATTTGTTATAACAAATTATTAATCTGTTATAACAGATTAATAATTTGTTATAACAAATTAGTAATTTGATTAAACAAATTAATAATTTGTTATAACAAATTATCAATTTGTTAAAACAAATTAGTAATTTGTTATAACAAATTGAAAATTTAATTTCAATTTCAAATTATCAATTTGTTATAACAAATTAATAATTTGTTTAAACAAATTAATAATTTGTTTAAACAAATTAATAATTTGTTTAAACAAATTAATAATTTGTTATTACAAATTAAAAAAAAATACTGCTGCGGCCCTAATACGCTTCCGTAGAAATTAGCTATGAGAATCGTAGTAGCAGCGTCTCTTTACCTGAGCCCATCTGCCGGTTGCCCATTTAAAGCAAGGTGCAGTTTTGCATGGTTGTGTTGTGTTAGGTCTTTCTAAACCCAAACAATCATTATCCACGACGGATATCAGGACATTTTTCGACATTTCATGGACACACATTAATTTTCTAGTTTGTTGCCCTTCTCCACACGTGACACTGCATGCTGACCAATCCGAAGGCTGCCAACGACTGCAAATGTTAAGGTACTGTCAATAATTTTCATAGCGAAAGTCTTTTTTACATATGATAAATCAAGATTCAAGAAACAAAATGTCTTACTTCAAATAAATGAGTTCGAAATAATGTTTTTTTTTTTTTTACATTGATATGACCTACTATCATTGTTCAAGCTCATATTAGATTAGAAGTAAATAATATTTTTCTACTGGTCTCAAGTTATACTTTTAATAAAAAAATTTTTTTGATGCGTTCACGGTTGTCTTCGATTTTTAATTTCACTCTATCATAAACATTAGCTAATAAAGTAGATTAGATAAAATTCCTTCGGATTGTTTAAAACTTTTGTAATATAAAGAATACTAGTATTGGATAACCCCCATAGATGTTTTTAAATGAATATACATGTACCATAAAATCATCTTCCATTTACCATCACCATTCATTCAGTAAAATGATATGCTATTGACATCACCGTTTCAATATAACATTTACCATCATATATTATATAAAATACTTGTACAAGACAAACCTTGTCACGTATCGTATCCTGAAAATTGTATACGGTACCTTCATCTCATAACAACAACAAAAGAATTATAATAAACTATATAAGGGAGACATGGGAAACCCAAATTCTTATTTGATTTTTCCATTGTACGTGTATGATAAGCCTCTGATCAATTACATAGTTGCATTTTGTCTAACTTTCATTGTTTTAAAACTTACTGGTTTTCCCATTTAGGACAAGGCTTCAGAGCACAGGGCTGTGATCCAAGCCCAGGTTTTGTTGCCATCAAGCAACGATTTTCTTCAACTCGCGTGTTTCCATAAAAACATTCCAAGAAAGGTGATTTTGTACCTTTAAAGCAAAAAATAATCAAAAATAATCAAAAGACTTCAAAAGTCTTTCAGTAATCAACAATTTTCAATCGCCAATGAGAGTTTATACTCCTTGGCAAGTGAAATTTTTAATCATTGAATCCGTTTACATTGTATTAAAAAGTGAAAAATGGCGGATGATATGGGTTTGCAGGGGACGATGTTATGGAGGTTCGTGTTTAATCTGGTCCAATTTTGATTTGTTTAATAGACTTTTGAGCTGAATCCCTGTACGTTATTTCCATATATCTCAGGGAATAAATTCTTTGCTATTTAAATTGCACATATTTTGATTGTCTTTTAAGTTTCCTTATTTTGATTTTCTATTTACCTTGGCCACATGTTGCTGAACATGGAGTATATCCAGTAATCTCCCATCGGAATCCATCGGCACTCGGAATCGAATTATCGTCAAACGAGGGATCGGACCTTACCGTCTGACGTTGTTTATCCGACTGAGACTTATAAAAGGTCTCCGATTCCTTCAGAGCACCTCTTAGAGAAGAATCATTTGACTTTTTGTCCATTTTTTCCATAAATGTAAAGCTCTGTGTGTAGCCAGGCATGGCACTAGAACCATTGCTTGTACGGGAATGATGACGTCGATGATGGTGATCGGAATTGGTGTTATTTATTGAGGGACTTGGTATTCCAGACCGATGTCCAGGGCGAGAAATATTATGACTTCCGCCAAAATCGTCTTCAACTATAATTGCATCGTATAAGGATTTTTGAGACTCCGGACCATGCGGCAAGCTAAACTGATAGAAAATTCCTGGATTGTGTCCGAAAGAAAGAACCTGAAATAAATGATGAAATTATTCCTCACATTTCTTTAACATATGGCGTAATTAATGAATTGGGTATTGATAATTTTCTCAGAAAAAAAATGATATTTTTCTGCTTCTACAATTTAATCACTTGTCATCACTACATGTGTTTTTATAAGATTCTCTGAATGGCTCATAAAAGTTCAAATAGTACAAGGTTATCAATTGTAAAGAACATCCAGAATATTTGTTTCCATAATATCTAGTTCTTAATTATCAAATGACAACTATCGTCAACTTTGAAGTTCTGAGCAAGAGCACATCTATTAGCCCTCGCAAAATAAATGTTGTTCGATAGTCTGGAACATTTGTGGCATGACCTTGAGTCAGTGTGTGTTAATACTTACAGTATATTTAAACAAAAACTAAATTCATTTTACTAATGAGATAAGTTAATCTTTTTTCATGTAATTTGTCGGTACAGTCTTATCTTTGATGATATTCAATAATTTCTGCAAATATTGTAATTTTTACCATGATATCTATCGCTTCTGTTGTAGGTCCTTTCGATAAAATACATTGTCCTGGGCATTTACTTGTTTGTCTGCTGTGATAACGGAACACTGCTCCTCCTGCATTATACTTCCCGTCACGTGACAATCGTCGATTTCCATTTAGAAAATATCTGCCTCCTGATATCCGCAGTGCTAAGGTTAAAATTTAACATACAACTATTACTTCAATTATCATTTCGTCTTACTACATATATACATGTAGCAAATTTCTAAAGTAAATTCCATGTACAACACTGATTGCTTAAGTTGTAATAATAAGAAGATTAAGATGTGGTTTGTTCGAATATAACATATCATCAAATTATTTTAAAACCAAAAGCTATATTGGGTAACAATATTTCAAGTAAATAATATCTTGAAGATTTAAAACCATATTGATGACATATATTGAAAGAAATAATAAACCATACCTATATAATTTCTACTGTGGTCCAATTGAGTTATATTGATGTTTGTAGCTCCTGCTGGAATGGTTCCTATTTCATTGTAACCATAGTTTAATTTCTTAGTTTCAAATACATCATTGATGATTCGGCATGTTGATCCATCGCCATTGCAAACACCACAAACGTCACGAGTTGCCCTAGATCCAACTACGTCATCACATCCCACATTCTAAATCGATGTACAATGTCACCTTACATGTATCTTGCAGACATAAGGACATTACCAAATGTAAGTTCTAAGTTCTTTCTCTTGTCCAAATATTTGTTCCATGTTTTACATCTTATTTTTTGACCATTAATTTAGAACATGAGACTATTTCCTTTAAATTTCATAACAAACTAAAGTGTTCTAAGAAACGCATGTGTCGCGTTTTCTTGGGGTTTTTTTTTTTAGCCTAACACCAAAAGTAAGATTTTTGAAAAGCTTATAGCACCTTAAGATAAAGTCCAATGGTGATCAAGTATTTTTCATCTTCGCTAGCAAAGGTTTTGGTATTTCTTTGCATTTAGCAGTATAGTTCGGGCAAACAAATCTACATATTAATAGCAATGGCATTTTCCAAAGTCTAAAATACATTTAGCAATAAATGTGCAGAATATCTAATCTATTCCTCTTACAGTTCTTAAGATATAAAGTGTGACAGACAGAAAGACAAAGGCCGGGTAAAGTGATCCCTCAGTGTCACTACGATACAAAAAGAAGGTGTTTTCAAGAATGTAAAAAAAAACCCATCTAAATGAAACAATCAAAATTGCAAATACTTACCTTGCATATACCCTCAATACAGACTGATAATTGATCTTTGTTGCAAAGAGCACCATTCATTGCATGTCCAGGAAATGTGTTGTAGAAGCCATATCTTTCCGCCCTACACGTAAAGTCACATTCATCTTTGCCTATCAAACATTGAACGAAAAGGGTAAGATCTGTTTGTTAAAAGACTTTATTCCTTTTTTTAATCTTCCAAGTCTCTTAAGACATATAAATGAAGCAAGCTATGTGTAAACATTTTACTAAAAATTATCACAATTTGTAATAAAGTAATATGGCTTCTGGATTGTAAATGCTTTGGACTTTTGAGCTTGAATACTGTTCGTTATCATATTTTTCACTTCAAAAATTGTACATGTATCCTTGAATATGTAAAGTATGAGCGCTCAAAAGATTTAGCAACCAGTTACACAAACATCCTAAATCTAACCTTATTTATAAGGATAATGTAAAACAACATGTATTATTAGCAAAACTTTTATTTGTGGCGATTCTTCGGTGTGAAATAATCAAATAAAAAGTGTTTTAAAAGTTTACTATTATGTCTATCAAATGTGACTATCTTAAGTAAAGGGGTAGGTGTTGTTCGGATTTGGCGGTGGTTTATGAACTCAGAATTCCCTGATTTGTAATAAAAGCGAGGGTTATATTCTCATAAAAACACATATCAAAAGAAATTTGAATACACATTTATATTTAGGAAATTAGTTGCATACATGTCATTTATGAATAAAAGTGAGCCAAACTATTCATATTTTGAAAATCTTTAAGATTTCGTTAGATTTCAACTTCAAAATTTCGAGTCTAAATGTAAACAATCATGCACTGTAAAAAAGACCAAGACGGTAAAAAGTAAACAAAACTAGCATCAAAGAAAAGCATTAACACCTTTTCATTCACAATGAACAACCATACATTATTTGAGGAAGGCCACATTTTCAATCACTTTATTTAAAAACATTCATTTCATAAACATTGGAGAGGAAACTCAAAACAGGAGCACATGTTCTCTTCTCTTTCAACTTCCTGTAAGGTGTCGCTTTTCCGATTTAACATATTGTGACTTCGATGCCATCTAAGCCTGCACTTGTAAGCATTTTTGTTGAAGATACAATTCCATACATTGTGTTTCTTGGATCAAATTTTAAACGTTAAGGAGGGTAACGACTTTCCACTTGCCAAGATCATTCCTTGTCACAATAACAAACATATGCCATGGATGTTGTTTATCTTTCTGCTTGATCTATGTTTTTAGAATTTCTTTCAAATACAATTCTATGTGTACATATCTTACATCCTCTGTTGCATAATACAGATGTTACCATTTGACATTGCCAATGTTATTTTGAGCAAAATATAATTAAAAAATTCTTCAACGAAATTAGAAGGTTCTTGTCAGACATACAGAGTTTCTATATTTACCAGATGAACTGCTTCAATTTTAGGTTTTCTATCTCCATCCAATTAATTCAAAGTGATATTAAAAAAGGCTTTTATTTTTATATTTACCTATGTCATAAGGCTGCCACCGGTAGTTTCTGCCACCAAACTGTTTGTCGTTATGTGAAGAACACTGCTGTTGTCGAAGGGTTTGTTGATTGGATGTACATTCCTAAACATTGACATGGCAAAACAGGAAACAAAAAAAAATTATAATCAATGAAATATGTAAGGAATTGATATCCTAAATAGATAAATTATCTAATGGATGAATTCATTAGAAGTAAATTAATAACATATGCAAAAAAGCGCTTTGATGTATTTTTCATATATTTATAGCCAGTAATTTGATCACTAAATAGAAAAATATTCCAGAGATTTCTTATCTCTTTTTAAATGAATTTAGTACTTGGTAAAACGAAGAATAAATCATGCCTTCAAAACACCTATGAAGTTTTAGTCCTTTCTGATACATTCGTATTGGGAAATCTACATGACTTCTGAATTGTCATGTTGGAGACTGTATTTAGAAGACTAAAAGATGCCTACGTATTTTCTTATTTCAAAAATGGGAGTTTAAAAACAATCAATCAAATTTTCCTTCAATGTAATACAGAAAATGTTCTCTACAATCTTTCTGTTTTTAAACAATAACTGGTAGTTTTGCGCTAATCCATTAAGTACCTGTCGATTGCAAACTTTGTATTCTGTACTTTCAGACGTACACGCTCGAGTACTGTAAAATAAAAAACTTTTACTGCTTACTGTACACACTCATACAAAGAGTATGAGAGAGATAATACGACGAACATATAGACCATAATTTCAGTTTTTATTTACTCAGTCTTGTAGCGTACTTTTCTAAGCATTCCCTGTTCCTTGTCGATACACCAGTCCCACACTCGGCATTACACGCTGACCAGGCACTCCACTGACTCCATCTCTTACCGGAATGGCCATGTCGTGATCTACCATGATGATTTGACTAAACAAAATAATAAAATGAAAGATATGGAGAAAACGAACAGTATTCAATACCAAAGTCCATAAAACAATACAAAATAGGAACAGAGCAAACACGGACCTCTAAACCATCAGAGGTGGGATTACGTGCCATCTAGGAGTGAGCATCCCCTCCTGACCGGTCACACCCGCAGTGTGCTCCTTGTCATGATGGGAAAATAACGGAAAAATCGGTCGTTAATTCAGTATATAAATATGATATGATTTCAAGTTTTAATATATATGATAAATGATTTCTCATTTTTCATAAGAATTGCAGTTGAAACGAATGGTGATGTTTCAATTTTTCCTCAACTCTAGAACGGACAGAATACTACTTTGTCTCAGGACTTGATTTTGAGTATAAGCCACCCATTTAATTTTTTCCTCTTTACTATTAATAGAAATATCCTGACATTTTTAGATGTAAAGATGAAAATAGCGATTTTAATATAGCGTCGTTAAAACTAAATGTCGAGATGAGGGCCACAGCAAGTGTTTTATTCTACTCTTATGTCTAAGCTTTAAAATAAATCCTGTCCTATCAAAACAGCATACTTCTAAAATCTACATTAGTACATATATATCCTTTCAAAACCAGTAAAATCTAAAATCCCCTTCCCCTTTACCTATTCGTATCTCAAATTAACACGCAACAGACTTTCGCAATTGTTATGTAATTGTTATGTAATGTCGAATGATATAATCATTGCGAAAACAGATGATCTGCATCGTATAAAGAGATTGAAATAACATCTATTGTCATTTAAATGGTGTAAAATGGCTTGCATGTAGGTGCTCTAGAAAGTGTTATTCAAATCAAAGGCGTAGTCTGCAGATTTAAGTATTGTATATAATTTTATGCTTTGCAATTTGAGTTTTAATGGTTATGTACAGAAAACAGCAGGAAACAACACATTTTAACATCACGAAAATCAAATTAAATGATTTCATAATAATTAAATACTTATTCTTGATTAATTTCATTTGCCGCCGTTTACTGAAACTATATGCTTATAATTCACTTAAACGTATAAACTTGAATTTTTCCGCCTAATAATTACAATACTTTCATGAAATTAAAAACACATGATTTAAGAAAAACTGGAAGCTGTACTCTTGATGTCATTGTAGATGTACAAGTAACTGATGTGTTTGGTGGTGATGTACTCCGACTTCGGTTTTTAAGTCTCTTTGACGTAGAGACATTCTTAGAAATTGTTGTATTAGTTCGGTGATCGGTGGTCTACTTCATGGTATACATGGATTTTATGTAAATAAGAGTTTGTTGAGCGCCGATTTGTCGATATCCAGCACAGCGTTGACTGTGAAAGAACTAAATTCCCGTCATGTTTCAAATGACCATGTCCATACTAGTATTTCAAATGACCATGTCCATATTTCAATTAATTGTCCATGACTCTATGTCAAATTACAAATTCAATCTATAGTAGAAACAAAATGCTTACATTTCCTTTGAAAAATGTCTAGATATTAAACATTTTGCGGAAAACGGATGCACTCAGCAAAGAATTAAAATAAGAGCCAACATGTACACTATGATGCAGATCGAAAACTTGCACCAGGGCTTAACAGTTGTTACATAATCGTACTCTTGGATGAGAGGTTGGGCGCTATTTTTAATAAAGAGTCAAAAGGCTGAACTTTTTGTCTTTTTAAGACATTTTCAAAATTTGGAAATTATTGACGAGAGGGAAAAATACATCATTTTAACAGATGTGAACCGAACTCTTTCTACGCATTTTATTGTACTTCTTTACTTCCATGCATTTTTCAAATTCGATATAGCATCGTCTTGTGTTATTATTATGAAATCAATGTTTGTGTTCAGTACATGACCAAGCAAATTTTAGTCACTCCTTGAAGTGCAGGTGCAATAGTTATCTCTATGACATTAAACAAGTACGTTTATAACTTTATCCTGAATAAAAGTAGAAGAGGTCGTTTTAAGTCAGAAGAAAATTACTCAGTCTTTGATAAGGCCGTTCTAATTATGGGAGTTTCATTGCTTAATTTAAGGATTAATTTAACGGCTTGTGATAAAATTTTCTCAATCATTGTATTTTCTCATAGCTCCAATTCCACTTTTAATAAGCAGTGAGGTTATATTGCCCAGGCTCAGCTTAATTCAAGTACTACTTCAAACACTTAATACAGGGTAATTTATGGGTAGGTAAATTAGATCTTTTCATGCTCGAAAATTTTATGTCCAGTTTTCCGGCTGTCAACTTGTGAATTACAGTAGCGAGCATTTGTTTGGTCAATCTGAGTTCATAACATTGATCAGCTAGAGAGTAAGAATATTGTTTAACAATCTTAAACATTCAACATATATTTCTTTTTATCCGTCAAATTTAAATAACTTCTAACTAAATGTAAGGATTCTTTGGATAACATACAATCTTGGAATTTTTAAATTCTTTTAGGAGGCGGAGAAATGCTGAAGATAATTATTTGATTTTGTTTGTACACTACGCAGTTTTGTTAACCTATATAGTCTAGTCAGTGAAAAAAGAAAACACTTGGTGTGGGTGTAATATATTTGAAGTCGAACGAAAATGGCAACAGATTATGTAATATAGAATGAAGATGCTCTGATAATCACCTAAATTTATCAGAAAAATATATGTGGGCAATGTAAATCAGATTTCTTCGAATTTACTGGATAAAAATTTCAAATATAACATAACTTGCTCTTCTTCTTTCAACTACAGTACTGCTGGACGTATCATTACTGGTGATGATATATGTTATTATTATAACTGTATTTTGGAATAATTTGGTTTTAAACATTCGTCTGGAAATCGTACATACAGTCGCAGAGGTCCCAGTCGCATAAAGTGCTGGCACGAAAAAAATCTCTTACTGCTCAATGATCCGGTGTTAACTGTATTAACTGCAGTAATATATTAATATATACTAAATATTAACTGCAGTAAAGAAGAAACTTCAGATTTACTGTTATACAATTTATTCTAGAAATTGTTTAAATTAGAGGTGAAATTCTAAAATCACCAAAATGGAAGACTTTTCTATTCTTTTCTGCATGGTTTTAAAACCATTCCCCACGAAAATAAAAAAAAAAGATTTCTGAAACCAACTGCTTCCTCAATAAAAATGGATCTCAGAAATTCTCACATCTAACAACATTTTTCGTAATTTCAATCACAGTGATTTTGCACACTCGGATGATGATATTAAAAGGATGCTGGAGATTCCTCATTGACAACATTTATGTAGTATTCGGAGACCAAGTCTTCAAACAAACTGTTGGGTACCAATAACTACTTTTTTATACGCCGATTTGTTTTTATATTCCTTCGAAGTCGAATTCATTCAAAAACTTCTACACGAGAAGAGGAAAACACTTGCTGTAACCTTCAGTTCGACACACAAATATATCGACGATGTTTATCATTTAACAATGATTATTATCAATTACATATCGATTAGATATATTGCAGTGATCTTGAAATGAAAGACACAACTGAGTTCGCCAGGTCTGATTCATCTTTGGATGTTTTTGGTGACCAAAAGGTCATTTAATAAACATCATAACCATAAGGAAAAAACTTAAATGTGTATGTTGTTATAATGGGTCATATTTTGGATGACATGTTTAATACTTGATTGTTAGGCCTTTGTACCGATCTAAATTGACTACGGAATGATCCATCTACTTCATCAATACATAAGGCTCACGGTGGAAGTGACCGGTCAACAGGGGATGGTTACTCCTCCTTGGCACCTGATCCCACCTCTGGTATTTCTAGGGGTCTTTGTCCCTGTTCACAGATTTGTATTTCTTGTAGATTTTATGAGATGGATCACTGTTTAATATCTTAACCCTTTTTTCATTAGATTTTCAGACATGTTACTCCAGATTAACAAAATAAAATTCTACCTACATTTTTTACTTCTAGGAGAATGTGTGATTACATGATTAACAACAATAAAACGTTTAAGCACTCTACCTTAATCAGCTGTTTTAGTTGAGAAACATGCACGTCAACAGATATGTATCTGTTTTTGGCACATACATACACGATTAAAGCATATAAAAGATAAACAATTTCATGTTAATACAATTTGGAGTATATAAATGTATGAAAATATTTCTTGTATACTCATCATTTTATTTTATTTTTAAGTGTGAAAACAAATATATTTTTGGTAAAAGAAATCAAAGTCAATCGTTTATTAGCGGTTTCATCTTGTCTGTCTGTAATCAAATATTACAACGTACCTTATTAAATTACTGGACCCACTGTTAATTTTTTTTCAAGATGTCGATATTTTAAAATCATAGTACATACCTTCCAGATGTTTTTATAAAGAAGAAAAAATCAATATACATATAACGAAGAGTTTTAAATGGACCAATTTTGTTGATGAAAATCCTTGTGTTACTCAAAGAAAATTTACAAAAATTACTTACAATATAGTTTTAGCTAACGTGGAAACATAAATGAAAGCTGGAAACCCTTATCTTTTGTAAATTTCTCCATCGATATTATATAGAATATAGCTATTGCCATATTGTAGGTGTGATGTCATATTTTTCTACACATAAGCCGTGCAATAATTCAAATTTTGATTATATTTTATTTCAATGTGTCTGGCGAATAATTCTACTCACCCCGTGCCTTCTGGCAGAGATTTCAGGAAACTGCAGTAAGGCGATACAGGCAAACAAACAGGGAGTCACAACCAAACTGAAAATATATAAATACTATATATTTTACAATTTTTGCATGTAAAAATGACACTAAACAATCTACTAATTAGTTTTGCAAAATTGGTCATTCTTCAAAGACATGTGCTTACCTATATGTTTTAACTGTCATAATTTCATTTAGGTAAGTCCACCTCAAATTATAATTTTACGATCATGAATTTCATTCAATGTTAAAGGTGTCCTTGGAACACAATACTACGTACATGAGGAAATCCGTAAATATGAGCTCAATACATGTGTTCACTACCGTTTCCTTCAAAATTAATTGATTGCTTAAACACCAACGATTTCGATTTCCCTACTTTACTAACCGACTCATTAATGAAAGCATGTATTTCCGGATTGTTGGCCAAAAATTACTCTGTTTTGAAATTCCTTTGATGCATAACTCCTATTGAAACACGATCTCATTATGCAATCTTTCTTGTATAAAGCACTGAGTTACATTGGTATTGTCTTCAACAAATGGCTTTTTTCATTTGCAGTCACCCTTACAAGAACAGGACATTTTAAAGAAGAACAAGAAACTTCAATCTGATTATTCGGTAGTAGGAAGTGGTGCTTAAGAGTGTCAAAGTCTGCTCCTCAGAATACTGTCTTCGGATGTTTCCAGTTATATCTGCGCAGTTTATGCACTTCTATAATTTTAAAAAGTGCATGCATACAAGAACTCCGGATTACGTGTTTTCCATCGTTACGTGAACGAAAGGGAGCATTGGCGTATCGGTGTTTTGGGGCGGTGGAAAGACTTTTTCTTGATGCGTTTTACAGCTGTTTGAAGTTTGATTTGTAGATATTTGATTAAATTAAATTATCAGTTCTTTAATTGTTCCTATATATTGCACATTGTCGAGATGCTTAACCATATACATCATCCTGCAAATCACATTTATTTATGGATTATTGTAGTTTTTTTCAGTTTTGAAAATATTCCCGGACAAATATACCGAAGATTTGATCCAAGATCTTCAAAATTACATGAAATGGATATTTACAGTACTAATGGCTGGTCAAATTTTAAGTCTTTGTAATTTTTGAATTTTTTTTTAAAGGAATAGAGAGAGTAATAAAACAGATGAAATACTACAAAATAAGAATAATTACTTCCATCAACACTTTTGTTTCTCGGTTTAAGTTATCCAAAAACTGAGAGCTCTCTAATTTAGCGTCTTATGAAGTAGGGGCAGCTGGTGTTACAATGTATCCAATATGTGCGAAATAGTTCATAAAATTAACTTAAGTGAACGTATTATTCAAAAGGTTCCCGTCAGGTGGGAAGAATTTTTAAATTTACTTTAGAATACCTTCTTAATTGAAGATAAGAAGTAAATTACGCTGAAACAATGCAGTAAAAATGTTCATGGATTGGCAGCACTGTTTAAAATTGGTAACTTGATGCCTTTGCAATGAAATGGTTTTGGCTGGATGACAAATTATGTATCCAGAGTAAAGAAAGGAGACGGTATGATGAGGCTTAGAATGACGATTCTTTTTTATTTTTGGCTCAAACTTTAATGCTACATAAAAATGTCACTTCAGTTTGTTTCGTTTGTCTTATATTTGAAATACTTACTAGTCCTTGTCTGTAACACAATAAACATTAAGCAAGAAAAACAAAGACAACTCGAACTATTTGCCAAGGGACATATCCCACGTGTCTGCATGTCTGGAGTCTGTGTGTTTCATGCGACTGTAATTAAGTGAGTGCTTCCAGCGTTTTGAGGGATCATTAATATTTTGCACTGGCTGTGTTCCTCCTTCTTAGTGTAAAACGTAGCCACCTCTATTAACATTAGCTAATTTATTTTTTCTTTGTAATATTCAACCTTTATGACCCGATGACAATTGTAAATAATAATATGGGCACTTTGATGCTATTATTTCCTCTATGACTGAGCCTTTTTGGCGACGAAAGTAAGAAAATAAAACAAATTTTTCAATTTTATGCTTGTTTAATACTTACTGTTTGGATATTTTACTTGAAAAAGACGTTAAAGTAATCTAATAACCAAGCTCTATCATAAACGTGATGACTTTAATTTCTCTATGGTCTTCTTCCCTTACTTATGCAGCAATATACCTTTATCACCTGCATACGGAGTTTATATGTCTCAATATTGATTCAATACGCAAGAGCATGCTCTACGTATGAACAATTTCTAAAACGAGGTAAATTATTGACAAACAAGTTGATTAATACAAGAATAGCAGCAGTTTCATTTAAAGTCATAATTTCTTAAGTTATATGGTCGATACAATGACCTTGCCAGCAAATACAATTTATCATTGAGTCAAATACTGACTGACGTTTTTCATACTAATTGTTAGACAATTATTTATACACTGAATTGACGACAAATTCTCCGTTATTTCCCGATCACGACAAGGAGCACATGGCGGGTGTGACCGGTCGGCAGGGAATATTCACTCCTCCATGGCACCTGATCTCACCTCTGATGATTTGGGGCTCTTTTTTTGCTCTGCTCCTATTTTTTATTGTTTTATGGACTTTTGATCTTGAATACTGTCCATTACTGTGTATCTTCAAATGTTTCATTACTAGTATATATGTATTTTTGTAATTGAATAATGCAATTCCGAAACCAGTGCTTTAAGACTGCATGGTAAAATGACAAAACGTGTTACACAGGACGAGTATATCGACACAAACTGCAGCTCAAGTTAAAGAAATATGGCAATAATAACGGTTTACTTGTGTCAAAAAAATTATCAAAGTCGGTACTGCTAACGCTTTTGAAACAAAGTGTGTTCTATAGCAGATGTCAGTTCTAATATTCCCACAATGGCAATAAACCCTAAGTACTGTAAATCATCAAATTAGACACTGAGTTGGTGTAAGAGATTGTTAAAATAGATTTTTTTCCCTAAAAAATCTAATAACATGATGGTTTATTTAACATTTAAACAATTGATTGAAAAGCTTAGAAAAAGATATGATATTCTTAAAGGGTTATCTAACCTATTAAGAAAATTATCTTTGTTTGTTGTACTAGGATTATATTAAGGCCATATTTTCGACACATTGTCAGAATTTTTATTGTGAGCTGAATTTCACAAAATCTATGCGTAATTTTATATATTTCTGGTTCCTTGGGTTTCGTTTCAGTAAAATTACGATCTTAAATGAATCAAAGTACTAGTGAACTTTTTCGGAGTCGAAGTTGTGATATTTCAGAAAAAAAATTGAATGGAATTAATTTGGTGCATTTATCGTTTTGCCATTAATATAGATTTTTACTTAAATTAACATTCGTTCATTTCACACTTAAATTAATAGATCTATATGATATGCAGTATGGTTCATTTTTAAAATCATATTATAAAGCAATATTATGCAATTTACTAGAATTTGATGGACCAAGACAAATTTGATGTTATCTTCACATGCATTTTCCCTTTTCAAGATAGTTTTTTCCTTTAAAAAAATGTTGAATTTAAACTAGAACTTTATTTGACTTGAAGTGTATTCAGTTTGTTATCTAGGTCACTAGATGACTTGGCATAATAAAATACAAAATGTATAATGTCTATAGCTTATGGAATCACAAAAAAGTAGAAAGATGTTTCTTTACGAAATTCATTTCGTAAATTTTAATAAATGGTCTTAAAACATCAAAGATTTTCATTATTTTATAGGGGAAAGGAAGAAAAGCCAATTTATTAACGTTAGATGAATAGGAAATAACATATAGACGTGATTATTTCGAAGAATTTCATTCAGGTTTGTATAATGTTGCGTTTTACCATCTTTAATCGAAAAAGAATTAACCTAGAAAAGCCATGCTCTATTCAGTTCGTTATAAGAAGCAAAAATGTGTTTGTCAACAATAACGCTGTACGTCCAGACAAGAACCCAATATTGTAAATTTGATATAGAGAATATGTACAATGAAATACTAAGTATGTAGATAACGAAGAGTATTCAAGCTCAAAAGTCCATTAAACAATACAAAATAGGAGCAGAGCAAACACGAACCTCCAAAACATTAGAGGTGGCATCAGATGCCATGGAGTTGTGAGTGCAGACCGGTCACACTCGCCGTTTGCTCTTTGTCGTGATCAGGAAATAATGGGAAAATTCCGTGGACAACTCAGTGTGTAAATAATGGCCTAACAATGCGTATTAAAAAGTTAATGACTTAATGATATGTCATGTTGTAAATTTTGAATCTACCGCGTGGTAGTAAATACAAAATTTACAACATGACAACAACTTGTAAATTTTGTATTTACTGCCACCCGATAGATTCAAAATTTACAACATGACAGATAAATTGTATTTGCTGACAAGGTCGTTGTATCGACTATAAAACTCACGAAACAATGACTCTAAACGAGACTGCTGATATTCTTTCTTCGTCAACTTGTTTGTCAATAATAACTTATCTCGTTTTATGTATTGTTTATATTTAGAGCATGCTCTTTCGTATTGATTCAACTAAGAGATATAAACTCCGTATGCAGGTGACAAAGGTACATTGCTGCGTAAGTAAGGGAAATTGACGATTAAAGAGGTAGTCATTACGTTTATCATTAAGCTTTGTTGTTAGATAACCAATAACGACTTTTTCTTGTAAAATATCCAACTATGAAACAGAAATGTGGCATCTTTTATTTCAAGCTCATCGGGATGTATCGCGTTGACGTAAGAATGGAAATAACTATTGGTAAATGATAATACGCCATCGATATATCAAAATGTGGAGAAAAAAGTTCTTTTAACGCGTAACTTTTGGTGTAAATTGATTTTAAAATTTAAAAAAGAACATGTAGAAATGTTAAAATGGTATGTATTATTTCCACAGATCGACAGCCGGAGGATAGGGTGCTAAACAGAGAAAAGACAGACATGATGATTTTTATACCCCCCGCTTGAAAAGCGGGAGGTTATATAGTAATCGGTATTTCCGTCCGTCCGTCTGTTACGCTTTGGGGTACCCATCTCTTCTCCGCAACTCCTCTCATACCACTGAAGGAAATTTAATGAAACTTTCACAGATTCTTAATTACATATGGCCATTGTGCACCTCCTATTTTACTTTTTGATCTGACATATATTTTTGATTTTCCAGAGCAAAACATGGACACTGCCATTATATTCATATGGGAGGTGGGGGTATCATTTAGTGAGCTCATTGCTCACAATACCTCTAGTGTTAATTGTATTCCTTCCCCAAGTTTATTTTTTCCTGGCATATAAAGATAAAAACGAGTGTACTTTTATCATAACTTGGCTGGGTTTTTTTTTCTTTAAATAGGACTGAGTACAAATACTTTCCTCCTGTTTCGTATCGTGATGAGGCTACTTGTCACAAGTTTTAGATAGAAAAATGACCTCACAGAACCACTTCAAACTAATTGTTCCTATTAGATGTCTCTCAAATATTAACGATATTTGTACACTTTTGTTAAATGTTACTTGACATTTTCCCCACACATTTTTAAGAATTATTAAATGCTCAAAGGAATTT